AACTAAGGTCCTGTGAATAAGTGGCATATCGAGGATGACACAATAATCATTCTTCCTGTTCTTGGCTTCTTATAGCCTGATGCAAAGACTTTTTTTCCACACTAGATTCGTATTCTGATTTGTCTTACCTAAAGCCTCAAGCAATTAAATGCACCATTTGTCAATGTCTGACTTAAATATTTTGTTATCAATGTCTTTTCAATGGAACAATTTATACAAGTCTTAAGTTAAATTTTTTTCTTTTAGCAGGATATAGCTTTCTAAGACAAATTGCATCTGTTCCCCCTTCTATGTGGGTGTTAACATTCATATGCTATGGCTAGAGGCTAGGAAGGATGGGAAAGGGCATCCGAACATAGATAGAAGAAATAAATTCTAATAGTCAATGATCAGTAGAGGGATTATAGTCCACAAAATTATATATTGAATGAATAAATAGAAGAGAAAAGTTTGATACAAATATAAAATAATGATAAGGAGATAGAAATGTCAATTGCCATTATCTTATTTGTACAATTCATGCACACATTGAAATATACTACTGAGCCCAACAGAATTATACAATCATTATCTGTTAATAAAATTTTTAAAAAAACTTGTAAGGAGATGGAAATTTTAACTTTCCTTGATTTGATCATTACACACTGTATAAAAATATCAAATTATTATACTGTATCCCATGAATTTATAGAATGAAAATGATTTTAAAAGAAAGTTTTCTATTGCTGTTATGAGTGTTGTAACATTTTATCACATTTTTCTTCATATATTTAAATGTTCTCTTCTGTGTTATACATCCATGAAAGTAATCACATCATTTTTTGATCTTTATCAGATGTTTTACTAAAAGTATATGTCTGGTACTACTATGCATAAGTGTATACAGATAATTGTACAATTTTTTTCTTTTTTTAACATTTTTTTATCGATTTATTTATTGGTCATGTGCTTTGTTCCAAACAAACTCTAGGTATTAAAAATAGAATAGTGATTGAACAGACTGCAGTTCCTGAACTTAGGGGTGTGTGTGTGCGTGTGTGTGTGTGTGTGTGTGTACCCTGGTAAGGAGATGTAATGATTTATCAATAAGTTTCAGAATAGAGGTATTTATAAGGCTTTATGGGTGCATAGGAATAAAGAGTCCTAGGCCCATGTTGATAGCAAGAGAACAATGGCCAGGTGGTCTTTCTCAAAAAAAGCAATGTATAAGCTGAGATCTAAAGAAAGACAGCCAGAGAAAAGGGACCATGGAGCTGAGAAAGCGCCATGTTTTCCAATGGCTTTCATAAAGGAGTAAGAAACAATTAGCTGTTGGCTGCATTGTCCTTTAGTAAGCAGTCTTTCAACAATTGCAGCGGCTTTCATTTTTCCAGACTTTTAACTTCAGTTATAGGAAAACACTAATGGAATACATCCTGAATTCTTTTTCTTAAATTTAGACAGTTACATAAAGAAACATGGTTGAGCTGCCTCCTATTTGCTAGTGAAGTTGATTCAAATTGCATTAAGGTAGCAAAATCATTTCTGGCTATCTTGATCCTTATAAAAACTGTATCTTCTCATTTTAAAACTCTGGTTATCAGTGAAAGTCTACAAAAGTTGAGTGAAGTCAGGATACTGGTATATAAAATATGTAAATATTCATGGCATCTGATATACCTGATTTTTCCTAGTTTTTTCAAACAATGGAATGTTAGTTCGTTATATAGTGGGACTTGGTGGAAAGTATCAGCTTATAACATTATATGTCCTTTTCAACAATGGTCATTTCTTTATTATTTTTACCAGATATTACGTGCTAATAAGCAATCTGGATTTCTAAAACTAAATTACAAATGATATTAACAAGTCAAAATGTGATTGTATTTTTTTTTTTCATTACGAGGTACAGATGTTCATGGTACTTGTAAAGAATTAACTACTTCAAACAAAAAGTTCAAGTACGTAATTCACTTACAAGTACATTCACATTGTTCAAACTCTAACTAGTTGATTTTATACAAAGAAAAGGTCATCACTTATCTCTTCTTAAAGGTCAGGGCCTTGGTTTTGGATATTAGTTAAATCATTATGTACAGAGTAAGAGAGTCTGGTCAAAGACTATAATGAAACATTAATCTCTGCTCATTTGTCTAACCACCTCATTTATCACATTTCATTTATCTAACCATCTACTTAGAACAGCTTTTGTGCTGCATTTTTAAAGAGCAAGAGCTGGAGCCTTTTACCACCTTAAGCCTCCTTATCTGAACCAAACTTTATATTATACATGTGCCTCATAATTTTTATATATTTAAGCTATCAAGAATTATTTTAATGTTTTTTAAATCCTTTATAATCATCAAAGCTCCATTGGCTAATATTTGCATCTCTTAAAAATAAAGGGTGTGAACTTAATATTACATGTGTGAACTTGAATGCATTGTTTGATTTTTAGGTTTGTCTTTCTAACATCAGATGATGTCTAGATAGTAAGTCTTTATGGTAATTTAATCAGAAGATGAATAATTTGGTCCACTGATGAAGGTTTTGTATATAAGAACTAAATGCACCATTAACCAAAATATTAAGCATCCAGAAAAACATAATCCTGTTTCTGAGGATATAGTAAGTATAACTTCTGCTGAGCAAAACTATTTGAATCCTCAGATTCATTTCTCTCTTTAATTTAACTGTGTCATTTTTAAAAGCTCATATATTTGTTGTATATACATTTATAGAAAGGTGTCAATCTGAATTATGGCTTATTCTTTTTTATTTTCTTTACATAAAATTCTTATTGAATGATGAGTTAGATTATTGTTGTAATGAGTGCCATAGGTGAAAGTTTATTGTCTCTTACTCTCCCTTTTAAGAAACAATAGACCAGTCCTAGGTATAATGTCATATGAATTGGCTGCTTTGATATGGTAAGACAAAAAATTTAATGTCAACCAAATCAAATCATTTTTATTTAGACATTATTAGTGACATTGCCAAGCTTCAAAGGTTATTGATACATTTCTTCAACTTATAAACCTCTTAGTAGAGAAATGTGGGCCCACTAATGTGAGTTTATCTGAGAATATTACTAGTAGATCCTCACAGAAGCTGGCTTAAGGTCATGTTAAAGAAGCACTCTAGTAGAGGAGAATACAATCTTTGAAAATAGGTTTTAAAAATAGGCTCATTTGCTTTCAAGACTTCTTGGCCACTTCATTTATTTATTTTTTATTTATTTATCTGCAAAATGGGAAATCCATGCTATCTACCTAACATGGTCATTATGAGAATTAAGTAAAATTATATAAATGATAACTATTTTTATTCAATGTTTAGATACCTGACATGTTAAAAGCTTTACTTCCATTACTGTAATAAATATTCATAATGACATCAAGAAATGTTTTATTGAACACTTTTGAGCCCATGTTGTTGACATGGGTTGTTGAAATGCACTTTAACTCAAACTATAGTTAAATCTTGCCATTTTACAATGACAAAATACTTAATGGAAGGAATAGAGAGTCTAAAATTATGTGTTTCTGAGACATTTGATTAAAATGTTCTGGTTTGAATGCTAGAACATTACTGGTTGGTCTTTATATATGAGTTTGTTCTTTCCTTAAATTTGATGATAAAGATAGTTTTAATTGGTGATTACAACACAGAAGGTAGTTTAAATGTTCTGAGTCTAATGTCAAATATTATCTTTACTCAGAAGCAAGTGATAATTACCACCACAAGATTAGAAAAGTAGAGTCCTATGGCACTGCTACTTTGAAGAATGAAAACTCTATAAATTGAAATTTTAAATGAAATGTGAAAACTAAAAACCAAAAAAACAATATCTCAATTCCATTAAGTTTGACTGTGTATTAAATACTTACTTATTGTCTCAGAAAATGCTGAGCAGTTGCCCCAGGGACCACATGTTGATATGCAAGGTTTACGAATTTTTAAATTGGCAAGTCAGTTTAAACTAGAACCTTCCTAGCTTTTATAAGAGATGAGATCTAGTAAGATCATCAAATGGCATATTTTTAATCTAAAAAGCACATTTGATCACTGTCCTGTGTTGCTTTCATCCTGTATTGCCTTATAGTTTAAAAGTCTACCAATTTTGGAGTGGCATAATTATGTGATCATTTATGCAATAGTGCTAATTCATTATATTTGAAATTATTATTGTTATCTAAGAAGTGGGTGGCTATTTTTTACCTGTAAAATATGCAAAGATTGCTTTAGAAAATCCATGGAATGCTTTTTCAAATACTAATGCTGATTTTTATTTTTGTAGTTAAATACTTGTGAAAAATATACCAGGTTATCAATACATTGCTGATTTATAATTTTCAAGGCTCCCTAAGTAATTTCAATGTGATAACATCTTAGCAAAAAATTAAAAGACCAATAAGTTTCCTACAATTATATTCAGAGATTGCTCCAATTATGGTGATATTTTTAGGAAGTGATGGCAATTTTTGAATCCCTGAAATGAATGAATAAATCAATCCATATAATGCTTTAACAACAAATATAACAAAATGGCACTATAAATCATATTTAAAACATTATGATAGGTAAACGTGCATTATAATAAGGTTGAATCTAGAGGCATTATGTTCATCAAACATCCATACAATTTTCACTCTCAGTTTTGACTCTCAAAATAAGTTGGCAAAAGTTTTAAAGTTTTATAAGAATGTATAAGAAATGTTTTGTATAAGAATGTTTTGTGTGATACTTTGAAGATTTTTTTTGCCAATTTAGATTTCCTCAATAAGACCTAGACATAAAGTAGGAAATGTTCTTAAACAAGCAAACAAAAAAATTAAAGAGTGAAAATATGTTAAATATTAAGATGAATCTGCTGGCATCCACATGTCTCAGTTTGTTGTCCAACAGAATATAATCAAACTCAAGCTTTTCTCTACTTTGCCTACAAGCGAAATTGTCACAAATGTGAGTATTAGGAAAGTGTAAAGGATTAACCTTGCCACTGGTTACTCTTGTTTCAGGCAGATCCAAAATGTGGTTGTTCTTAACAGTGACAAGTTTCATATCTGCACTTGGAACTACGCATGGTTTCTTGGGAAAAGTAGCTGACAGCCCTGAAGTATATATGAATATTGTAAGTTGTCGGGCACAGGAGAAAAACATGTAAGAATAAGACATAGTACTATGATTTAGAATCACAGTGGGTTTAAACTTTTAAGTAGCCAATTAAAAGTAATAATATCTATTCATTCGATGTATTTAAAAGTCAAAACATAAAGCACTGGGCTTTCCTCATCAGAGCCAAATGATTTCCTACTGGGGATACCCATGTGAAGAGTACGATGTGGTGACTGAAGATGGTTATATCCTCGGAGTCTACAGAATTCCTTATGGGAAGAAAAATTCAGAGAACAGAGGTATAACCGTCCCTTCCTTTGCTCCCTTCCCCCTTCTTTTCTCTTCCTTTCCTCCCTTTCTTCTCTTCTCCCTCCATCCTTCCCTACACCTCTTTCTTTTTGTTTGCCTTCTTTCATTTATAAGTAAGGATCTAATGCTTGCTTATTCTGGAAATGGAATAACAATTAGCCATCTTTCCAGCTTTCAGGGAGATCGCCATTAAACCAATGAGATAGATAAATAGACTAATGATTGTTGTGCACGACTATTTTTTTCTCATTGAGTTTATTGGTACATTTTAGGTATACAGTACAGTTACATTCATTATTGGGATCTTGTACCTCTACATGACAGGTCTTGGCTCTCATATTTTCCCCATACCCCTGCTCTCCCTTCACCCTGTCCTCCCTGCCCCATTTACAAAGACTTTATTTCCATTTTTTCATTTTTTTCTTTTCCCTTATTACCTTCCCCTTACCTTTCCCACTTCTCCTACACCTTTAGCCCTTTTCTTCCTATTTCACATTGTCAATTCCACCAGCAGGATCTTACATACCATATAGTTTTTCACACCAGAGAAACTATTCGGTATTTATACATATGTAACTTATTTATTTCACTTAGGAGTATATCCTCAATATGCATTCATTTTCCAATGAATGACTCTAATTTCTCATTCTTTATGGCTGAGTAATATTCCATTTTATAGAAAAACTACATCTTCTTTATCCAGTCTCCAAATGATGGGCAAATAGGCTGTTTCCAAGTTTTCGCTATTACAAACTTGAGCACAGCATGTTAAACTGAATGCCCTGAGGAAGGTACCTAACCCAGCTAAGGGGAGTCAAGGAAAGTTGCTCTCAGACACAGTAGCTGAGTGAGTCCTAGAGGATCAAAAGAATGTAGTGGAGCATGCTGTGGAGGCAATTGAGAATGGGAAGACAGTTGAGGCTCATTTGCCAAATGAAGAAGGATGATTTTTGCTAGTCTGATTAAAATTTATGTTTTTCTCACTGTAGAAAAATCATAGCATACAGAAAGAATGAAATGTTACTACCCATTGCCCTCCTAGATTACTTTCTGGTTACACCTGCATATGTTCTGAGAATATAACTTTAATAACATTATTGAGGTATAGCTGGGATATAATAAACTGATAATCTTTAGTATCTTAGATGCTAACAGCATGAGAAAAGATAATTCAGATTTTAAGTATGTTGAACTCAATCAAGAAAATATATTTCCTTCTATTTGCATATTTATCTTAGAATAAAGAATAAATCTATGAAGTTTTTAATCAATTTTCTTCCATAGGCCATAGGCCTGTGGCCTTTTTGCAGCATGGTTTACTTGCATCAGCCACAAACTGGATTGCAAACCTTCCCAACAACAGCCTGGCCTTCATCCTGGCAGATGCTGGTTATGATGTGTGGCTGGGAAATAGCAGGGGCAACACCTGGTCTAGGAGAAATTTGTACTTCTCACCAGACTCAGTTGAATTCTGGGCTTTCAGGTAAGGAAAGAATCAATCAAAATGGACAACTAAAAGTAAACTTTGTGCTCTGAAAGCATGCATATTTTTCATCCCTAATCCACTTTCATTTTAATAAATTATATTCCAAGTAGGAGGAGAAGGAAACTGTTCTTCATTCTGTTTTTTTCTTGGAGTATTCTATTGTATCACTCCAAAGGCAGTTTTTTCTCCCGACTTCCTATGACCTTAGTACCACTATGAGAGGATCTTGAATATACTTTTCCAGATGGGATGAGAAACATATCTAAAGCAAGGAAATTTACTGAGCCTAGAAAAATCCAAAAGAAGCACCCATGTGGACTCAGGAGAATATTAAACCCAGTTGGGCATGGGATAATAGCAACCTGTGTCATCATCAAAGAACAAAATTCAGACATGGAGAGATCGTCGAAGGTTTTCCTATTGCCGGCCGGCTTGTACGCTATTCCTGGACATTACTGATGGAGACAGAACAGAAGAGAATTCAGTTGATCATGCTAGAGCAAGAAAGTTCTAAGAGTTTGCAGGAACACAGGGTCCTTAGTGCAGTGAGGAAGAGGGAGAGTGACCGGAGACATAACTGGAGAGGCTTTTATCAGGCATGCAATGAAAAACCACCAAAAAGTTTTTTTGAACTAGAGTTTTCATTTTCAAAATAACATCCTGAATGATTTGTGTAGAATTATATTTACAGAGAGAGAGAGATAGGATTCATATGAAATGGCATTGGAACACAGCATGCAAAGGCTTTTTAAGTCTGACTTTCCATTTCAGGGATGAAAGTAATTCCCAACTACAGATACTATCTTATTTGAATTAGATTGCAGCCACAGTTCCGAGCTTCAGAAATGGTGTCAGTTGTTTACAAGAAACCATCCCAAAGGGCATCTGACATTAACTAGCAGTTTACAAGTAGAAATTCTTAGAGAGTCTCCTTTTCCAATTCTCAGATAGAGTCTTATCTATAAATATGCATGGATTTTAGAAACTGTAGTAAAATATATTGTGCTTTTTTGTCATTTTTCTTGTAGCTTTGATGAAATGGCTAAATATGATCTTCCAGCCACAATTGACTTCATTGTAGAGAAAACTGGACAGGAGAAGATTTATTATGTTGGTCATTCTCAGGGTACCACCATTGGTAAGTAAAGGTACATTGAGACTAGGGAGTTTAGTTCTTATAGACCTCTTCCCAGTGAGATTGAGTATACTTACATTTGTTTTCTACTTATTATAAAATTTAATGCCTATGACAACCTAATTATATAGGAACAATTATTATCTCAATTATATAGAAGGGTAAATGAAGCATAGAGGTGAATGATTTGTCCAAGATAATGTGATGTATTACTGATAGGATCAACAGATATCAGCTCAGGCAATCTGACTTTCAAGCCAGCATCTTATAGCCTCTGAATTGAATTTATTTTATGTATTTAACCATATTTATGGAGAATAGAACTATCACATATCTAAAAATACAATAATAAAAATAGTTTAATATCTCTACATTCACACCATTTATACTCTAGTGGGAAAAAGCTGGGAAACAACAAAAATTACAAAGTGAAATGTGTACTAAAAATGGTAATGATATATACAGTAGAAAAAGAAAGCCAAAAGTATCTGTTGTTCTGAAAGACAAGGGGAGAAAGTACTTGAAAAAGGAATAGATAGTCATTTATGAAAAAGTTACTGACAAATCAAGTGAAATGAATTTTGAGAGCTAACCATTTAGCACTCTAGAAGTGATAGGGGACTTCTATAACAGCAGCTGTGGTCAAGCCGTTGGGATGAAAGCATAGCAAAATGCATTCAAGAGACCACAAGAGAAATTGTAAAAGAAAGAAAGGTGAGAGTGAGGTGGGGAGGTGGAATGGGAAGCTGTATGAAGATATCATGATGTGTTTTTAGTGCTGATCCTCACTTCTACCTGATGCCTCTTCTTCCTACCAGTTTCAAGTTATTGAAATGTCCACAAAGGGACACACATGCAGGAAAGTAGGTGAAAGCTGTGGTGGAAATTTGCAAAATTCTTCTCCAAATGTGTGTACTGATTTCAATAGTAGAATTTTAGACTCATGATAACAGATGTAGTGGAACAGGTAAGGTTCCAAGAAGATGAAGGTGAATTCTCAGGATATTTCTTGGAGAAGCACTTTTAGGGGAAAGGCAAAAAGCAAGAGTAGCCAGGAGAAGGTGGGCGAGGAAATAATCCCAGGAAGGCTTCAGTTGGCCCTGTACAAATGGCTCATCAGAATCTTTCAGAGTGGGGCCAGTGGGCCTGGCCTTCTTTCATACCTCTTGACCAGATGCAGGCTACCCTGGAAGGGTGCGTATAAACTTGGGAAAACAGGTCTTCTGTAGAACTAAAGCAGAGTGGGCTCACAGCTGTGTCAGTCACACTTTTCCTAGAGAGAGTGTTGAAGACCAGCCTCTGATTCATAAGGCAACCAGGCAGGAAAGAATCAATGATGCATGGTTATTGTCATCTGAGAGTCTTTTGTTAAAAAGTGGGAAGTTTCTTTAGATTAAAATTTACTCCTTTATTCTCCAAATCAGAAAAAAAAAAAGTTACCATTTTTGGATGGAAATCTATGACATAATCCTTTGACTTTTTTTAATGGTACATATTGAACACAATATACTAGCTTTTCTTGACTAGCTAGGGATATTAGATTAAGTTCATAAAGGTATTAAATTATTGAGATGCAATGTGATTTCCTTTGGGCCTTATTAAAGTGCGTAGAATTGTTAAATGTCAAATAACTCCAATCTGCTACTTTTGGAGTTATTTTATTCCACTTTTGATTATTTCCATTCTTCTTCACATGTGTAGATTTTAAAATCGTGACTATCATGCTCATGAAATCTGAGCAAGCAGAAATGCCAATTTCACAGCTTGTCTCTGATGTCACCTTAGTAATGCAAGATAATGGCACACTTGTTAAAACAAACCTACACGCATCCCTTCTTGACCTATTCCTTGTTCTGTTTCAGGTTTTATTGCCTTCTCTACCAATCCCAAGTTGGCTAAAAGAATCAAAACCTTTTATGCATTAGCTCCAGTGGCCACTGTAAAGTATACTGAAAGTCTTTTGAAAAAGCTTTCCTATATTCCTACATTTCTCTTCAAGGTATGTGATTCTCTTTAGTTAAATGAGTCTAAAATACATAATTTCCTATGGATTTCAAAGTGATACAAAGAGAACGAAAAGATCTGCTGGATAAACATGTTTGTAACCCAAAACGGAACTGTAGATGCTTATATTACTTCTTTGTAGCACTGACCACATTTGAATCCCCTTGACAGCCTGTGAGATAACATCTGCGTCTTTACTCTTGGTTAGTTTTATGCGAGCCACCAATACCTGTTAGGGTTTCTGCTTCTTTACAGACCTATCCCTTACCAAGCACTCTACATAGATGTGTCAAAACTGCAACTGCACTCTGGTAACAAGGAGTGGGGAACAAAAGGCAAAGCAATAGTCAATGCAAAAACACAGCCCACCGGGGCCTTGAAACTGGGAAGAGGAAATAAAGGAAAGGAAGAGAAAGGCAAAACAGAGGAAAGGAATCTGTGATTGAGTGAAGCACATAGTTTGAGACCCCTAATTAAATACTCTTAGCTCTCTTAAGAGCTCTTTTTCTAAGAGTTTATTCATCTTTCGATGGAGAAGGTGCAATAGTTTAGACTTCAGAAAAATAATAAATATTAAGTGCTTTGTTGAGTAGGCATACAGAGTAGCTAATTAATAATCTTTACGTTTTCAGTGCTAATTCTACTTCTCCCACCACTGAAGCCCCCCCTACAAATTATTTTATGAGGTTTCATCTCAGAATACAAAATGTCATAAAATTTTCCTTCTATGGTATTGTACTATTCATTTATTTTTACTTTGTATTAATGTGTACATCCAAAGCCAGGAGACTTTACGTATGTCCACTTTCGTTTGTAAATCTTTTATTTCAAATGTAAATTATTGTGGTGATGCTGAATGTACTTACTGTCGCATTGATCTAGAACTTTCTACTTAGATTTTCTGATAATAAAACAGAAAGTGATTTTTAAAAAAGCTTGTGCCTCTAGGTATCATACAGTTCTAATCAGCTCAAGATGCTATTCACTAACTTCATGTTTTCTCATATGTGAAATGAAAAAAAAAAAAAAGGCTTCTTTCCCCTAAAATAATTGGGACAGATGTTTGCTGAAAATATGACTTGGAATCATTATTTTCTCTCCTGATCTTTCCAGTTTGCTGCTGAAATTGCACACGTTGGAATAGAAATATGCCACAACTTTTATCGCCCCAAATAGATTGTAACTTGCTGTGTCTTTGGCTTCCTCTCAGTAACCAGTACAATTCTCAGTGCAACAATAGTCACCTGGTACTGATATCCACCTTGTCAATTTCACAATTTCATTGTGGAAATTAAATAAAGTGTGGGAAATTCCTACAAATACATACAGAAATAAGAAAATATCATCTGCTGAAAGGCACCTGCTGAGTAGATTAGATAATTAAGTAGCTTTTTTTAAATAGCTTGATTGCTGTGGTGCTGGAATGATTCTTTTATTTTTCAGACTATATTTGGTGATAAAATATTTATGCCACACAACTTCTTTGATCAATTTCTTGCTACTGAGGTGTGCTCCCGTGAAATGATGGATCTTCTCTGCAGTAATGCCTTATTTATCATATGTGGATTTGACAGTAAAAACTTCAACACGGTTTGTATTCATTGCAATTTATATTCTGAATCTTTTGATGAACGTATCTGAAGGTTTTTCATCTTCACTTTGAAATGGTGTTTATAAAAGAACTAGAAGTAGCTTCAGAATTGTGTTTACAGTACCCTGGCAAACCCAAGAGTAATCTCAAGTTATTATTCCCATTCTGTCATCTCTTGCTCCCTGCTATCATCTAAATTGCTCTGCAGGTAAGTAATTACCCTGCAGGGGGCTCAGTACTCACTTGTGACCAACCACTCAATTGATATTGCATTTAAATTCTGTGATGGAAGGCATGAAACCATATAACTGAGACAGTATTTCTATTGGGAAGATAGTAGGCATTGAAGAAATCTTACTTTAAGAATTTTTAATGCTGCTATTCATTCCCATACATTTTACAAAACATACTTTAGCCCAACTATGTATCCTTGCCCATACTCTTAATCTGCATTTGCACCTGTTTTGCATTGACTGAGGGTTTTAAAACTTACGTGAGGAAGTGCGATATTGTAAAGTAATTAAGCATATAAATTTGAGTCAGCCTCAATTCCAATCCTACTCTGTTGCTCATATCCTTCTGGTAAAAGCTACCCTGAAACACGTTAATGGAATTAGAGAATTTAGATCTTAGCTATTTTCCAGAAAACCAAATGTGTCTAAGTATGCATGTGTATGTTTGATTTTAGAGTCGCTTGGATGTGTATATATCACATAATCCAGCAGGAACTTCTGTTCAAGACATCCTCCACTGGGCCCAGGTATTATTGCACCAATGCTGTTAAAACTTATTTTGTAGGTCTGAGCACTTGAACTTTACCTAAAGTACATTCTGAAAACATTTTGTCAAATGCTTCTGGAAAGTAACTTTCTGGCATGTGACTATCACGTGAAGATAGCTATGCATTCATATGAATGAACATTTTTGAAAAAAAATTTTAAAATAAAGAAAGTTTATAAAAACAGGTGCTTTGGGTAGCAAAGTGATATTTGTGACTTGGCACATGCAAAAAAATTGTTTCATACAAAACTGCATTTAAGCTTGTATACATACCTTTTCCTACATGATATTAAGTTTTGCTTTGAATGAGAAAACTGATTTTAAATACTTGTTTAAGTTGAAGATAAACTATTTGGAAATATTTGAATTTTATTTTCATATAGCAAGAATAATTTTTATTTCTTTGTGTTTTTAATTATTCTCCACTAGGCTGGTAGGTCTGGAAAATTTCAAGCTTTTAACTGGGGAAGCCCATATCTGAACATGTTACACTTTAATCAGGTAAGCTTCTTAAAATTGAAATTATTCACATCTTGAAAGATATAAAAGGTTAAACAAGAAATTATTCTATCCATGTTCCCATTTAGGGACCAATGCTGTGCTCATACAACCCCACACTGAGCCTTTCCAGGGCTTAGCAACATTTGTTGTCATTGCACAGACCTGCATTTAACCCTGTCCTCCAGCACACTGTTTTCTTTTTGATGTGCAATCAACTGACATAATAAGCTAATAATTCTAACCATTCCTAATAGAGCTGGAATCTCTAGTTTTCGTGAACAATTCCCTCCTTTACTGACAGTCAAAGGAGTAATTTCGTAGGAACATATTCCTGTACAAAAGAGAAAGAGGGTATGTTGAAGGTCAAGGCTGGAAACATTTTCAGCATGCACAAGCCTTGTGAGTCAGACAACCATACTGAACGGTCTTCTCACTTGTAGTACAAAGGACACAGCTTAGGAATTCATCTTATTGGTGGTTGATATGAGCTTGGGCAATAATTTCTGCATCACTCTACCCAAACTCAAAGTTATCGACATGATTTAATGAGATACATATCTTTAGCTCAGAATAAACTTTCATGTTATTTCTGACTAATTTGGAACAAGGAAAGTATGCTACATTGTTCTGTAAACATTTCTTCTCTTAGCTTTTCTATGCAAGTAGTAGTAGCTAAACAATTCTACTAATTTTCATCTGTTTCTATAACTTGAAATTAAGGAGGGGTTCATATGACCTTGTAACAACATTCTATATCTCTTTATTTTATGTTCTTGATGTCTTTAAAGAGGTTTTAAGAATACCATCAAGTCAAACCAACAATACCATGGAACTATTTTCCCCAACCATCATCTTTCTGTAGCTCCAAAGCTCAAGCTTGTTTTGAATTATCTGGGCTGTAATGCTGATAATCAGATGAATTTATCTTAGAGGGCCAAGTGAATCTGGAATACTCTTTCTCCAAGTCCATCTTCCTTCCAACCAAGTCCATAATAGGTCAAGTTGGCCTTGAACTAACTGAAGCGGTGACACTAATTTAAGAGCTGGAGCTAGCATATGGAAACTCTGAATAATGGGACATTAGTTAAAGCAAGTAGATTTATAATTACAGGTATTTTCCAAACTATTTCTGCTAATAAATGAATATAATGGAAAACATTAAAAATGCTAGGATAATTACATATGATAAACTGTTTCTGTGGCAGGTTGGCTACTTGATACCTGAGAATAGAGAAATATTTAACATATTGAATTAGTGTTTTTTAAAGTATGATGTCTGTATTTTGTGAGAAAATTGGAGGTAATTCTTTTGTTTCTTTGCATTTCATTATGTTTTTCCTTGAAATCTGTGTTAACGGTGATTTTCTAAAAATATAAAATGGGGCTGATGATACTGTTTCTCAGAATTTAAAGCCACATTTAGTAAAATCAGGTAGAATTAAATAAAAACAGCTCTTTAACTAAACCAATGGACATTCAGTGATAGAATGTGGAATCAATACAAACCCAAAATAAATAACTCAGAATATTTTGAGGAGATTATACTTCAGAGGGGAGGAAATGATTATCCTTCAGAGTAGTAGAAACAATTTGCCAATGTTAGAATCTGATCAAATCTATTTCCTTCAGCTTGAGTTGAAATCTGAGTTTTAATTTTATGAATCATTATCTAACACCTGGCATTTCAAGTCATGGTTCAGAACCAACAGGTCAGTCACCTTCCAAATGCAGAATCTCTGGCTCTCCCCTCATTTACTGAAATAGTCTTCATTTCAACAAGATTCCCAGGTGATTGACAGGCCCATTAGAGTGAGAAGCATAGATCCAACACATACTGTGTCTAAATTTCTCTACAGATAAAGGGGACATTTTTTAGAGCAATCCTTGCTAGAATTTACTTGTAATGCTAACCTAATTAATATTACAAATCTACCCAAAGAATAAATACTGGGTGTAAAGTGTGGTTACCTGAACTGTGACTCTTTCTGTTTTGTGTTTTAGATCACTCCTCCCTTCTACAACGTGACAGCCATGAGCGTGCCCATTGCAGTGTGGAATGGTGGCCATGACTTGTTGGCTGATCCCCGGGATGTTGATGATTTGCTTCCAAAACTCTCCAATCTCATTTACCACAAGGAGATTCCTCCTTACAATCACTTGGACTTTATCTGGGCAATGAATGCCCCTCAAGAAGTTTATAATGAAATTGTTTTTATGATGACAGAAGATAAAAATAAGCTCTAGATTTAAAGAATTATCCATTTAGAGCATTGCTTAAAGTGCAGTGTTTCTTCTGTAACTTTGAATTTAGAAATATATTGGCATCAACAGACTTTCCATTTGTCAGTTTGAATTTTTTTTTTAATTTAAGGAAATTTAATTCTCATTTAGTAATCCCCGAAAGGACACAATCCCAGGGATGTGAAACTTCCCTTCAAATCTTCTCATTCCATTTCTTCTCTCATCTCAGATTAAGAGCCATGAACCATGAATGCTGCCAAAAGAAAGTCTTGGGTTAAAATTGACTCCTTCTATGAACTCTTGATACTGAGTAAACTGCTTTCAATTGTCATTGATGATTTCTATTGTTAGTGAAGCTCAGCCTGTTCAACTGCACGGTGAGGATATTGCTTGCTCTTTTCTTGTTTAGCCTGGTGAGCAGGGATATAAACTGAATGGAGAACAGCTCACTGTCACCTCCCAGAGAGGGGAGCGGAAGGCAGGTTGTCAAGCAGCTGTGACCCCAAGCTTTGTTGAGGAAGTTGAGAAGTAAATGGTCTGCTCTACTATGACCACTGTCACCAGGCCCTCTTTTATTGGACTTCAACCTCAAAACAGGCCAACCACCAACAAACCAAACTCTTTGTCACTGCCACAGAACTCTTTGTCTGTCTTCCACAGAATCCAGAAACATTCTTACAATCTCCCCCTTCTTGAGAAAAGGACAATCATCATATTACAATCTCCTTTTCCAGCTAATTGCCTTTCTTTTAGTCTGTATTCAGAAAATATGGGCAGTTTTGGTTTTGATCTTTGAACACAAGTTTCTACTTTCTTTGCTCCCACAGCAGCTGTGCTGATACAAGTCATTTGTTAATCCGAACTGTCAAGACCTTCGCTAGTATTCAAGAGTTTTTTCCACCCTTTTCCTTTCATCATCCCTTGGCTAACCTCTCATCATGTAAAGCTAAATAATTCCAAATCAAAACTTATAGTCCCCACTTCCCACTTACCTGAATAAAAAAGTTTTGAGCAATGAACTTCTTAGTCACTAGGAATTAGACATTTGGTACACTGCCTCTTCTTTTTAGTGTAGAAAATTTAAACATCTATCTCTCTAACCATTCACATATACATATATATATACACACACACATATATACATAGAGAGATACAGAATAGTTTAGTAAACTTCTTTGCACTCAGTACTCTGTTTTAGCTATTATCAAGATATAGCCGATCTTGTTTCATCTGTACCTATCACCATTTCTATCTCTCATACTAATTTGAAGCAATTCTCAGACATCACACAGTCCATCCATAAATATTTCAGAGTGAATTTCTAAAACATAATGTCTCTTTTCTAAAACATAATAACATCACTACCATTTCCAAAACCTTAATATTAAATATCCAGTCAGTGATTGTCTAATTGTCTCATAAATCTCAAAGTGTTTAAATTGGAACCTGAATAGGCTCTACTGCACCCTTTACTGATATGTCTCTTGTCTCTTTAGATCTATAGGACCGTCTTTCCTTTCTCTCTTTTCCCCCTGAAATTGATGTTATTGTTGAAGAAACTACATCTTGTTGGGATTGCATACCATTGAGAATTTGCTGATTATATCCCAGTAGTATCACTTAGAATTCTCCTCTGTCCTTCATAAATCTTGGAACTCAGAGCTTCTTAACCTCAGCACTACCAACGTTTTGGGCCAGACAACTTTTTCCTGGATATCTGTCCTGGGTACTACACCGTCTCTGGCCTCTACCCACTAGATGCCAATAGTCCTCACACAACCTAAACTGTAACCATCAAATACATCTCCCAACATTGCTAGTAACTCACTTAGGAGCAAAACTGCCCACCCTGCCCATGTGAGGAGCATTCCAGTCAATTATAATTGATCAGATTAAAGTTTTTAAATTATACTTCAAAGGTCACATGTTGTTCTTCCATAGTGGGGCTCATAAGGGCTAGCTTCCCTTTTTTTGGTGGCCAGATGATATTGCTTTTCAAAGCCGAGATCCAACAGTTCACCAGAGCTTAGAAAATATTGACAGTGCAGTGAAATATTTAATACTGTACATTTCAAAAGAGCTGATTGGTTAAATTTCAAATCTTTTCACCACAAAAAAGTTCATTATTTGACGTGTTAAATATATTAACTAGCTTATTCAATTATTCAATATTTGTTCTTCCTCCTGGTCTGACTTTGAAGTAAGGAGATAAAGAGTCACATAACTCCCAACATATATTCCTGAATTATGCCTCTTCACCTAGGAGTCCATCTTCTAGTACAAATACCCTTCTCTTCTTCCTGCACAAGGCTAATGTGAATGGATTGGGTTTAGCACAGAATTAAATATTCCTAGAGTTATCTAAGTGAGGAAATGTGGGGACGAAGGTGCCAAGACTTTTTTGAAGCTAGCTTGGACTAATACTAGGACTCTGATTTCCTAAGAACCACAAATACAAACTTGAGCTATTATCAACTTCAGTTTATCCAGATATGAAACAAAGAAGTAGTTGAATTATAGAGGGGAAAATTCCGCTTCTAATATTAACTTAACAATCATAACAATGACCTCATACCAAACATTGATATGAATAAAATTCTGTTTCATAGCTTCAAAGTAGACTGGTTGACACACAAATGTCAGACATCATGTAGACAGTGTTGACACCTCTCTATGTGTTTCTCTCTCTCTCTCCTCATCTACTGTAACATACTATCAATTTCTTCAGCTATAAAAAACTTTTGATGCCAAAATTCACTTTCGAATTATCAAATAAGTTTTAGATATTTCAGATTGCACCCAGGTTCAGAAATCTATGTCATCAATAGGGAAATACGCTGTCTGATTATATTAAAATTACTGCACATGTGGCAGTATTTCATTCCTACGGCTTTATACTTTAACTCTCACACAAAATTTATTCCAAAAGTGCCCAGACATTCAGCAAATAAAACTATGTGAAAAATAGTGTTATTTGTCATGCTTCCTTTTCAAAACTTATTTTGATCAGGGAATTTTACAGGAATCATGCAATCACCCAGATTTTCCAGTAAAGGGGAAAGCAAATTTAGAAACTGTTTTTTTTCAGTTCAGGGGCATTTACGCAAGTTAATCAATAGATAGTGTTTTTGATTATTTTACTTTGCATGCTAGCCTCTGTATTAGAGTTCATGAAACACACACACACACACACACACACACACACACTCAAACAAATACACACAGCCCACATCGGAAATTAAATCTTAGAGGAATTCACAGATGGAAGATAGGAAAAACTAGCATTCTGTTGAGAACTTTATATATAGGATAGCAATACCAACAAAAGTACTACAAAATAGGTAATATTTTATCAGTTTTACATAAGTCTCATGGAGTCAGGACTTGAATTCAGATTCACTTGACTCCAAAGTTCATTTGTCTCGTATTCCACAACATTCCATTGTCTAGTATTCCAAAAAATCAAACATTAATACAAACCAGTCTCTCACAGCAAATTTGTTGTATTTGTTATCACTTTTATTTGTTCATTTTGTACAGAAGGTCTTCTATGTTTGTATCACTGCTTCTAGATTTGTAAACTCTGTAAATTCATGGAGCCCATTTTACAGTTCTTTTTACTTCCTCTTCCATATGTTATTAGCATACGCATTGTTCTTTATTGATGCCCATTATTACATGCCTATATACTTAATGCTTTATTAACAAGTCTGCTCATTTCTTTAATGTGCCAGATTCTTTTAAACAATACATTTAAATAGCAAACACACTTGGGGTTGTCTTAATCATTACAAAATATATTCCTAGATTTAGTACAAAGCTTTAATCTCCTGAGTTTGAATTAATTCATCACTGTAATAGTGATTTCTGCTGTAAATTTCTTCTATAGAGAAATTTTCAAACATATGAAATTGAGAGGAGTATTACCACAAATTATCCATCTTCCAATCTGCACAATTATTAGGAAATGATTATTTCAGCTCCTTTATATTTTACCATAGCAAAGATTAATTATTTTAAAGTAAACTTTCAGACATACATCATTTATTATATATAATATATTTTATTATATATCTTTAAAATATAATGTCTTTTAAAACAATCACAATTTACTAACATCATGCCTGAATACCAAACAAACAAATCCTTTGACCTTTTCAAGTATTCAAGCAATGTTCAAATTTCCTCACACTTGATCTTAGCCAAAAGTCTGAGAAGTGATTAAACAATTTTTTTTTTTTTTTTTTTTTTTGGTACTGGGGATAGAACTCTGGTCCTTGTGCTTGCAGGGCACAGGTGGGACCTCTGAGCTAAATCGCAGGCCCTCAATTTATTTTGTTTGTTTTGTTTTTGGTACCAGGGATCAAATTCTGGACCTTGCGCTTTCGAAGCAGGTGGTGGAAACACTGAGCTAAATACCCAGCCCTCAAATGTCCTATTATCTCACAGATGTATTTTTTATATTATTTTGTCCAAATCAATACATAAAAAATGGCTAGTCATTTTATTTGGTTTATAAGTTTCTTAAGGCAATGTCTAAAATAGTTCTTATTCCTGCTTTCCCCTTATATATTGATTGCTTTCTCCAATCTTGATAATGTAACTCATCATTGAGAATAGTTCATGTTGATTTTTTTTGTCAAGAATAATTCTTTTGCCCTAGGGCTATTAAGTGTATCGAATTTATATCACTACTTTAGATTTAACATTTATCATTATGCCACATTCAACCTAATTTATTTAAGTACTATATTTGTAACAAAATTCCACTCCCACTCCTTACTTCCACCATCCCTTCCCATATAATATTAATATTATAAGACTGCCCATAAGAGCTAGGGTCTCTCCTTTTTTAATCAAACAGAAGGAGTTTCTCATACTTCTAGCTTTTGATAATCAAGAAGACTTAACTCCTAAGTTAGCATCAAGCTTATTTTTACCTTCTTTTGAAAAATCTTTTTCTATCATGATGTGGCAGGTCTTCAATTTTATTAATATTCTTA